GGGGGGGTTCTTCTTAGACCCGGAACTTGTCTTTAGCTTTGGTGGGCTTGCTCTTGACCTCCAGGAATTGGACTCCGACCGAATGACGGCTTCCCGCCTCGAGGAGTTTCGCCTCGCGTGGCTCAACCTGCGCCAGCTGACGCTTGACCTAGGCAGCATGCCTCTCACGGGCTTGTCGATAGTCTTCTACCTCCTCGTCATGGTGACGCTGACCAGCTACCAGTCTGCCGTGTCCTACTACAACAACTACACCCTCCTGTGCTTCGGCAGCACCGGCTGCCTCCTCCTGTCCCAGTTGGCGCTCATCCACATCTTCGACACGGCGCACCGGCTGAAAGACGTGGTGAGTACCACCTGAAGCCCATCGATAGCCCCGGTGCGACACTCTGCAAATCTAACTGTATGACAACTTGACAGTTTAAACTGCAAAACTAGTTAAAACTGCAAGACTCTGTAGTTCAACAGTTTAAACTGCACAACTGCATAGGGCTAGTTTGACAGTTCAAACTGTCGAACTACATAGTCTTGCAGTTTAAAACGTAGAACTTTCCAGTTTTGCAGTTTAAACTGTAAGACTTTTAGTTTTGCAGTTTAAACTGTCAAGTTGTTATACAGTTAGATTTGCAGAGCAGCCACGTAAAGTTACCCTGTTTTATTTCCAGCTGTCGACTAGTTTCTACGAACCTCTGGCATCGAAAAGCTGGAGAGGACTGCCGGCTGACCTGCTCACCGAGGTAAGCGGAAGTTAGTCAGACATGGATAAGGCTGGATTTTTAACTGTTTCATTTCCCAAATTTTTTAGCACCAGCAGTTTTTACACACGATATCGACTAACCCGGCCGCGGTGACTTTTATGGGCATGATCAGCATCAAACGTCCAACGTATCTAAGCGTATGTACTGGCCTGGGGAATGTCCGTCATACATGCGATTTTTACTCGTTCTTTACCTCCCGACACTTCTTCACGGAGGTGAAGAACGAGTGCTCGGGTCTGGTGTAATTTGGACCCCACTTTCAGCGAAGAAATGGTAAGATAGACAGCTATTTAGGTATAACCAAAATTTTGCATTTTGCGTCTTAATGAACCCATAACAGTTTTTTTTTTTTAGTTTCTAAACAAAATTTTGAGAAATGACGAATCTAAAATGCGAGGAGAGACGTTCGACCGTTCGCCGCGGAGGCACTTTTCAGCCGCTTTCGCCCGGACGAGATTCTTCATCATGCCCATAATATACCACCAGATCAACTAATACGTTACAGGTGGCCATTTCGACATGTGATAAATAGTAACTGAGTATTTTCTATGAATAAAGGTGGGTACAGAGTTCACAAGATGCGAGCGTGATTTTTAGGTCGCTAGCGTGAAAAGAGTTGTTTTGGTTAGCAGTTGACTTCATGCAACAGCCAATAACAGGCCGACGTGGGGCTATGCCATTCTTTTCAGCTCAATCAGCTTTGGAGCTAGC